CACCGCCTCAACTCTCGCGACCGCCCCCCAACGGCAGTAAAGAAAGCACACCCAGCCGCCGCCGCCCGTGGCGGCTCCTAGAAAGCCGATGGCGGTGCTGGCGACGGCCCCTCTAGCTCCGGGCAAGCCCCCTCGGAAAGGGCGCGGCGTGCCTTCAGAGCGACCCGCCGGCTTCTCCAGTTCCTGGCCCAACGCCTCTCTGCAGAAGCAGCTGCCGCGCAGCAGAGCGGCCCAAGGGAGCAGGACCGCCCCGCCGCCTGAAGGAGGGGCGGCGGCAGCGGCAGCGGCAGCCGCCTTAGGCGCTGCCTCGTCTCGCAGCCGGGGCCGCTCGGGGCCGCCAGCCGCGGGCACGCGCTCCTGCGAGAGCCTCTGCGCGGCGCCAGGAGGCCGCGGGGAGGCTTCGCTGCGCTTCTCGCTCAGCCTTCCCCCGGAGGCGATCCGGGTCCTACAGCGCCGAAGCCTGGAGAAGCAGCGGCCGCGAGGGCGGGTGGCCCGCTTCGCTTCCCCCGACGCCTCCAGGTGTCCTCTGGCGGGAGGCTCGTCGCCCGAGGGGGACTTGCGCGCCGTGCTGCAGGTGTCCCTGCTGAACGAACGCCACCGCTACGACGACGTGGAGTACGAGGAGGAGGAGGCGGCGGGCGACCCCGGCGCCTTTACGGCGGATGAAGGGCTGGTCCGCAAGTGCACCGAGTGGCTCCGTGGGGTGGAAAGCGCCGCTGCCCGGGATCGGGCGAACAAGATGGACACCCTGCCTCACTTGAGCACCCTTTGAGCGGCCAGCTACCGGCTCCTCAGCCTTTCATAGCCAGCGTGGCCCTTCGGCAAGGGCGCCCTTCCGCAAAAGCATCGTTTGCGAACAAAAATTCTTACCATTCCGTTTCCCGGTTGCTTTCTAGTTTATTCCTGCGAAAAACCTCACTTTATCCTTGTGGGTTGTACTGTACGGTACTGTAGCGGATTTGTCCTCTGTCGGCTCTGGCTCTTTCCTGGGGAGGTGGGTGTGGCTTTCTTTTTGTGCCTTTCCTCAACCACGGACGAAAGCCCTGCCATTCTATCACCGGTTGCTAAGGAAGCAAGGTGGCCTCACCAGGTCCAACAGTAGCGTTATGTAAAATGCACTTCTAAGGGATTATGACGCTCCACTCAACACCATCTCTTTGCCGATGGCACATGGGAAAGGTGCTTACCATGGTCCCCAGGATGATAAGTGTCAAATATGTCTGCCAGAAAAGCCCATTCACTTGGCTGGAAGTCTGCTTCACTTCTAAATGGATTCTTTATCCAGCATTTAAAAAATCCTGTCATTTCATAATGTTAAGGAAAAAGAGACAGGAGTGCAACTTGTGTATTAGTCTTTGCTAAGCTAGTATAATTTTTTGAATATGAAAGATGAGAATGGTGAAAGAAGTTTGATGCCTCAGTGTATAGGTTTTACTAAAACCAGCCAAATATGAGTGCTCAATTCTTTCATCTGTCACCTTGTTATAACACAGTGATTAATTTTAATAGTCTTTGTAAAGATTGAGGATTTAGTGTAATCTGAATGTGTTCCAAATATGTTTGGAACAGGTTCACCTTACTGAAAAATGCATTCTGAGATCCAGGGGAGGCAAAGGAAGACTCAAGAAACTTTCTTCATGGTTTATTTCAACTTTCAGGGTGTGCCCTGAGGGTGACTGTGGAGTTTATGAATTCACTTTCATTCTACACAACAGAGATAAAAAGAAACACTCTGTCTCTGTTCAAAGTGTTCTGAATGAAAATATTTTTTTTATTAGTACTTTGTAAATAGAGAATAGCACAGTGATTTTGTAAATCTGTAACATTTCTATTTATTTGAATAAACAGTAAAATTTTGTGAGACATTGTACGTGCTTTCGTTTAATATTATCCTACATTTTCACAGAGAATTAACTAATGGATTTACCATTGGCAATGAAGACACATAATCCGGTTAAAATTATGTATCTTTTATTTCAGTGAGAGACTAAATATATAATTCTTCTCTTTAAATCAATCTGGTCATCTCATTGGAGACATTGTGCTTTCGATGAGAGCACAATTTATCCAGAAGGCAAATGGTTGGAAATAAATACCTAAATATTTAAAGTACTTGATTTGTTCAATAGGTTTATCATTCATTTGCCAATTATAGGAAAGGTTAAAATGATTTTTAGTGAAACTAGGAGCTTTAGTTTAGCATAATTAATCCCTAGGTTATCCCTAGGAAAAAAGGATGCTACTGCTCCTAAACATCTGCAAAGGCCAACTTGGGATATGCTAAAACAATGGTGTCGTCTGAATTGCGTGAAAGAGAAATGGGTGAGGGCTGGGGGATGAAATTTCAGATGGAAAGGGCCAGAATGATGTATGTATGTATGTATGTGTATATATGTGTGTGTGTATGTATGTATGTGTATGTGTATTTTAAACATACATACATACATACATACATACATACATACATAT